TATATACTTTATTTTTCTCTATATTTGAATTTTAGAATAAAATTTTAAAACACAATTTAAAAAAAATAAATTGGTATAATATATATCATGAATTCTTAGAATTTTTAAATGATAGTTGCATATATATATATATATATTTAATTCTAAAAATTTAAAAATGTATTTCAAAATAATTTATCTCAGTTCACTAGATATGGTCAAGACGTATAAAAAAATAATTGAATCGTTAATTTTATTAAAAATTAACTATACATCTTCCAACATAATATAAATTATTTACTACAAATATTTTTTTAATATTACAGAACCAATTTATTTAGAATAAAATAATAAAAATAATTTTTTAAAGAAACTAACCAATTATTCAAATACTATTTTTTTATGCTAATTTTATTGAGTACTAAATATATAAATATATATAGATCAATTCATAAAGAAGAATGATTTATGTTTTTTTTAAGCGAGATAATTTATAAAAATATTAGAAAAAATTAATTAAAAAATATTATAATTAAAAAATTTAAAAATTTAAAATAATTTTGTTTTACCTGGACTCACGACATAGCACGGGCAATCGACTAATCGATTACTAATTGCTGTGTTTAGCACATGTGACCTATGTGTGAAAAAAAAAATGGAGTTAATAAACTGATATGTTTTGTATAATGAGTTGAATTTTTACTTGATTCTTATCTTTTAAAATAAATCAATTATCTTCTTTTCAGACAATGTTTGTGATATTTGTTAGGAAAAAATATATATTGGCTTGTATGTATATAAACCAAGTGATCAAGCAGCACCTAGTTTTCCATATTTTGCTAAATTTCTTTCAAATCAAACCTCCCAATTATACGAAGAAAATAAACATAAAAATAAAGATAATGATTTGTTAGTTGTTGACACTGTTTCTGCCATCCATCATTAAAACTTAATTAATTACTACTATATGCAAATAAATAAATGCCAATTATAACGAATGACAGCATAGGGAGGTTAAGAGTGGTGGAGTCGGAAGGATGTATATAGGGAAGAAAACTAAAACTTTATGCTTATCATGATCTGATAAGGAAGTTTAATGCCCTGAGTACGTACGTATATATATATATATATATATAGAATGTAATTATGGTCAATTCCATTTTTAATGATGGCGGAGACACAGCATGTGTTCTCATATTAGGCGCATGATATGTTGTTCACGTGCTTTACAAATGTCCCTTCAAAATTGAAATTTGTAGGTGGACAATCAATCCCATCATTTTCAGTTATCCCTGGCCCGTTTTCATTCAAAATAAAAACAAGTTTAGACTCCAGTGAACTTCCGAAGAGACCTGTCCTACCTAGCTAGAATAAATATAGTAAATAAAAAGAATGAAGAAGAAGAAAAATGAGTTTAAATGGAATAGATGCACCCATGAATGGTTAGATGTTGATATACTTTTGGTGGATATATACTGTACCGAATAAATATAACAATATAAAATATTATAAAAATACAGAACGAGTCATTTATCATAATTTTTTTAATAAAAATTAAATATCTAATTTAATATATATATATATATATATATATATATATGCGTGAAAATTAAAAAAAAAAAAAGGAAATTAACTTTATGTGACGGGAGATAAGCTCACCTAATCAAGAAATGTAAGTACATGATGCGAAAATGTTCATTCAAGTTTTTTCACCTATTGATTATCTTTATCTAGAACATGTCTCGATCGTCTTTATCAAAACAAGGGCTCCAAGTTCTACAACCTGGAATCCTTAGCTGTATAAGAGCTGCACCCACGTTAATGGAAGAAACCAACCCCAGCTTGTAGACCCCAGATTACATTGGGTCCAATGGTCCCAAACCTGTTGGAACAGCAGCAACAACCCAAGTAACGTTTTATAGGACCTAAATGATACCAGAGTAGAATAGCATTTCATTTTCAGCTGGCTTACATCAATATGTTTTTGAGAAACATAAAACCTGTTTATTTTAATTTTTATGTTTTTTTTTTTGGAAAAATAATATCAGCAGCCACTGTCATCGCTTTGAAAACCATTATGCTTAGTTTTTCAAAGTTTGTGGGAAGCAATTGCTAGTTTTTACTTTTTTCTTTTAAGAAGAGGAAATCGTCAATAATACAAAACAACATCTTAGTTTTCTATTATCTTGATAGACTTGTGGATCATTTATTATTTTTGATTTGATTATTGTTATTATTATTATTTTTTTACTAATGCGGTTGAAAGTCTGTATAACCGCAAATGCACTCAAACTCTTTCTCATTAAAACATAGAGCTTTCAAGATAAATTCAAATACAAAGGGCAGTCATGAAATAATATTTTAACCAATAAGTCTTATTAGCAAATGACATATAATTAAGTGTAATTGCTGGTAGACACCAACAAATTAGGGAAGGAAACTTAATCGCTGGTCAACGTGTCTTGGATACCATAAGATTATAAGATATCGATGCTGATTTATTTGAATCTTATTGCTAGCATCCAATTTCTACCCAAATAATTTAATTAAATATGTGAGTTTAAAAGAATATATATATATATATACATATATATAAGAAAGATAATTATTCAAATGCAGGGAACAAAAAAATCTAATTGAAGATGCAATTGAAAGGTTTAAAAATCAAAATTTTAATTGAAAAAAGGAAGAGTGTTATTGAGAAAAGAATCGAACCAATCAATACCGAAATTAAAAATTGAAAAAGCTGAAGATCAAAAATAGTGTTTGGCCAAAATCCTAATTTTTTTCCTAGGAATACCCAACCCTTTCATATATTCAAGCAGACACACGAATAAAAAAACACCGCAAAAAAAAAAAAAAAAGCTAAACAACCTCGAAGAAGCAGTAGACCTCGATACCTATGGATCGACCCGCTAGACTCCGCCGACACTTCTTTTCTCAAATCGACCACCTTTTGGTTGATACTTTCTCTATACACCACCATCAATCGATAGCCCACAACTAGTTTCATTGTTGTCGATTAGTTAGAGAAGGAGGAGACATTGGAGTTGCTCGAAATTGAAGAGCAAAGGTCGAACTCCCATAAATTTGGCTAAAGCGTCGACTTCCACCACCACAAAACTATTCCTCGTCCTTTTAGAAGGCGTTTTCCCCTAAAGTCATTGCTCAATACCGTCAAAATAAGTCCAATCGATGGCGAATATCCATCTCGACCTATTTGACACATCATGATCAAATTCACCGATCAAGGCCAAATTGAGCTCCTACAACGACCTAGAACTCGTTCCCACTTGAATCCAACCAAAGCCCTTAAAAATTTGACTAAAAAACACATGAAATCACCGATGCTTCGAAGGTGAGAAGTTCAACCAAACCATTTTTTCTCTCTCGAGTTTGGTCATTTTCTCGGCCAAATCGAGAGCCAACACCACTAGGAAAATGTACCTCACCATCTTAAGAGCGTTTCTCTTTTGAAATCCCGATGTAATCTCACCGGAATCGATCGATTTGGAGGAGAGAAAATTCAATCGATCCGTTTACGATGACTCATTCCCACCTTCATTTTTTTGGCCAAATTACTCGATTGAAGGTTGATCGAAGAAACCTTCTAACTAGTCCTAGGAACATCTCTAGGTAGATTTGGGGCCTCAAAATCCAGCATCCTCACTAGAATTGAAGAGAGGAGAATTGAGATGCTTGCTTGAAACTTCAAGGTTGCCGATCACACTCCTTCGTCAACGACGACTCGTGCCGCCACCACATACAAGTAGTGTAGGCCTCCCTCCTCCGTGCAAGACCTTCCACGTGCTTGGATCTAGCTTGAGTAGCAATTGATGACGACCGGATAACGGTAGCGCATGTAACACTCGCCCTAGAGGTATTTTGGTCATTTTTATGTGTAATGGCATTTTGGTCTTTTCATAATAAACCAAGGGTATTTACCCCTTGTTTGGATATTTCCTCTTGGGAGGAAAGAAAAGAGATGAAAGAAAGTGAGAGGAAATAAAATTATTTTCCACTTGTTGTTTAGATAAAAGTAGAAATGAAAGAAAAGAAAGTATATTTTCCTTGTTTGGATAATTGTAAAAAGAGGGAGGAAAAAAATATATTATTGTATATTTACTATAATACCCCTATGATTATATTTCTATATTTAAATACTTATAATAAATTTGTATGAATATTTTTTTCATGAAAATAGTACATATGATAATAAAATAAAAATCTAGCATCCAAGCATCTATTTGGAAAAAAAGTCTTTTCAACTTTTTTTTTAATTAAAAAATTACTATTTAAAAATTAAAAAAAAGAGTATATTGTAGCATTGCGAATAATCATGAAAAGTCAATTGAATCACAAAAAATGAGATAAATTGCATATTTTAATAGATAGGCATAACCCATTACTCGTGTGAACACTCTAAATTTATTGTAAAATTTACAGAGTTCCCGAAAGCCAAAGGTAGGCTTATTTTCCCGTCAAAAAGACTCAATCAAATGCAACCTACAACATCATGTTGTGGATGCCAGCAATCCAAGACACGAAAATATGTTTAACTTTTTTTTTTTAATAATAATTTTTATTTCTTTTGCAGTAATTCCATTCCTTTTCATGTACAACACCAAAATGCATCTAATTCTCTTTAGAGGAATCATTTTCCTCTTGTGTGTGTATATATACATACTTGTATATATATAATACAAATATTTATTTGAATAAATATAAATACTTGAGGGATCATAGTTGATTTTATTCAAAAGTAACTCGGCTACTTCTTGTGCCTTTATATACTCACTACGCTTTATTCTCCCTATCATCAACCACTAGTCCGTCAACTACTTCCTCATACCTCTACTCTTACAAACATAGAAACTAGCAACTCATCCTTATGATGCAAGTTCGGATAACAAAATATAAGAAATTAAAAAAAAAAAGAAGGAGGGGGACATCCTTCAGCTTTTCATCTATTTCCACCTCTCGAATCACTTTTGTTGTCCGTGTCCTCATCATGCCGCTTCATGGACGAGATGTCTTTCTCGTTGGAATTGCACCAAGTAACCGACAATGTTGGGCTATAGGTCGGCTAACTTGGATGAAAAAGGGGTTGTTGCTTAAGTGATAAGGAGTGAAAATGAAAGTGGGCTTCGAGGTTAGAGAGAAGGGTATTGTGAGGGTCAAGGTCGAGGCAAATCTGCTTTGCGGATCTCTTTTGTTACCGCAAAGGAGGGGATGATCGAGGCAAAGGCGAGATGAGGGAAAAAATGTGAATCAATATATTTTGATGATTTCTTCGCGTTTTCTCCCAGCTTTCCTCCTAATTTTGAGAGGAAAATGGATCCCACCATTTATAGATTTTTTTAATATTTTTTTTCTTTCCACAGACTTTCCTCCGCAAACCAAATGGAGGAAAACTTTCCTTTCATCCCTATTTTCTTTCCTCTCTCCAACTTTCCTCTCTATCCAAACAAGGGGTTAGTCACCATACAATAGTTTTTTGACACTTAAAAATAGTTGCTTTCTCTTTCTCAATTGACTCAAATAATTTATCTTCATTGAGATTGAAGGAAGTAAAACTAACTCGAAAAAGGAACTCGTAACATATTCACGGCATTTGGGTAACTTTCGAACTTACCCGGATTGTTTAAAAAGATAAATGAATGATGAAAATATTATGTTGTGGATGATTGAGTTGTCAAACGCATTGCCTAATTATACTTGATATTTTTGTATGTTCCGTTGTTTATCGAAGTGTAACCGTCGATGATTTTTAAATCAATTTATGCTTTTTCGTTTATCCAAAATGAAGCTATCGGTGGCTTTCCACTCGTGTAGATGAAGCTACCAATGACTTCCTAATCAATTTACTTACTTTCCGTTCATTTGAAATGAAACTCGTTATTAGTTTTTCACTTATGTGACAAAGTTGTCAATGACTTCCAAACCGGTATCTCGCTCCTTGCTTCGAGCAAAATAAAATTGTTGATGGCTTTTTATTTATGTGACAAAATTGTCGGTAGCTTCCTAGATTCATGACTTGAAATCGTCGGTGACTTCTCATTTGTGTGAGCAAAATTATCAATGACTTCTTATTCGTGTCAATAAAAGCTATCAATTTTCAAAAGCTCACATATTTGTCGATATAGGATGTGTTCGCTAAAGGTTAGCCAAAATTTCAATCTCCCTCGTCTTTTCCTTTTTAGTATGAGTATTAGTGTCGGACCAATGTAACCCCGAATTACTTTGTCATTTTGTCCCAACGGAATAAACTCACTCAAATTGGCATAAAATCATAATACAACAAAAATCAAATATTTATTTTTACATGCATTCAATGCGAGCATGTTTCAACTAAGACAGGATAACGGTGATATTATATGTTCCTCATAAATAACTCGACCTCTTAACTAGATATCTATATGGATTAATATGTTTAAGGTTCTTTAGTTCTCCCAAATTAGTTAGATGGCTCCTCCATTTTCCCACGTTGTGGCCTCTCTTCAACACTTATCATTCTCTCTTTTTTTTTTTTAATTATTATTAGATTAAAAACAAGAACAACATAATGGTGGTTTTCATTTAAAATAATATATTTTTAAATTATATTAAAAAATTAAGCACAAAATAATGATGTTTTTTACTTAAAAAATAATATAAAATTATTCTCAGCTAGTATGTGACAGTTTAAACTCCTTTGAGTTTATATGGTTTCTTTGACAATTTATGAAAAAATAAAAATTCACTCCTGGATGATTTTTTTCTGAATTTAATCTTTCTATGAAATTAACATTTCTAGAAAAAATAAAACAGGTATGATAATCTCCATCACTCTTATCAGCAGTAAAGATCCGGTCCTTGATAAGAGCCAACTATCGTTAAAAAAAAAAAAAACAGCCCTCGTTGGTCAATAAGATTGGAAACACATTTCCAAATCGAGGATAACGAAGTGTGTTCATCTTGCAAATCACCACGACTCAATAGACTCTGCGGTTGCAAATTCCTTCCATACATTACCATCCTTTTATCTTTTTTACCATTTAGGATTGTAATTGGACGATTGTCCTCTAAAACTTATCGAAAGATTATAACAACGAAAGTAAACTATGATGAATTTCCAACCAGTTAAAAAGACTTTGAAATCGGATGACTCGGAATTATATCCACTTTTCTTGCTTTTAGTTTTTTTTTTTTGGGGTTTTTGGTTTTGGATCTTTAAAAAGAAATACATGCTTACATGTCTTCTGGCAAACCTTACAACATAGGCTCTCTCATTTGGTTTGAATAAATACAACTAACAATCAAGATGTTGTTAAATTTTTTCACTCAAACTCTGTCCTCTGTGTAAAGACAGTGCCTTTTTTTTTTTTTTTTTCGTTTAAAATTATTAGAAACACTTTGAATCATTGATTCTATAATGGTATGCTGTGCACTAGATTGAGTTTCAATAATTTTAGGGCTCCGAAAGCAAAAAGACAAGACAAAGTCATTGTCTCCAACATCTAGCTGATCTGGACAACGAAGATGTCCTCGTGGGACCTGACATCAAGGTGTGCCACGTGGAGACAGGCCATTCACTGGTGGTGACGTGGCACTTTGGGGTATGCTGTATGGACGATATAGTAGGAACTGTCCTCTACAAGTGGAGGGATTGTGGACCCTTTTGCGGTGGGGTCCAAGGGAAAGAGAAGTTAGAGGGGGAGCCTTTAAGACAAACCCATCTGGCTACTATCCATATTCATGTGCATTCATTAATCAATGGGAGTGAAATAAAAAGGAAAGCAAGCCCAGTAAAGCAAAGCATGATTCCTGTGCCTTATGAGAGAAGAGTCACTTTCTCCCCCTGTAAATATGCTTCTGCAACATTACTAATTCCTCCTTACTCTTTTCAAATAATTACCATGATATCCCATCTTTCTAGCTTCCGTAGCTTAGTCTGATCCGAACGGAGACGGACGTCCTATATTATCAATATAAAAATTATTTTTATGCCTTACACATATGCATTTATCCAAAGGAATTTAGGTGGCGTTTGATATGTGGATTTCTTCATTTGTTTTTTTTTTTTTTTTTCAGAATTTGATGGTTAAGAAGGTAAATATTTGTATTTGGTTGAAAATAAAATATCATGTTCATGTGTTTTTTTTTTGTTTGATTTATGTTTAAAAATCCATGAAAAATTCAAATAATTTTACCATTTTAACTTTAAAACCCGTCATATTTAAATTTGAAAATATTAATATTTATTTTTTGTTTAAACATTATACACATAGAAATACGTGTTATTAGTCTTCAAGCTAATATATTGAAATGCATCCAACCAAAATTTATGTTTATATATATATATATATATATATATATATATATATATATATATATATATATATATGTATGTATGTAAAAGCTAACTTTTTGATGAGAAAAAAAAATTTAACTTGATAAGATAATAATTATCAAGTAAAAATAAATATTTGCTAACTATGGTTCAAAACATAGGAACACAATATCTAAAATATTTTTGTTATTATAGTTAAAAAAAACTTATGTCAAGTCAATCAATATTGAAGATAAAGGTAGAAGTATGTAAGTTCAAGTGCATTTCAAGTGCAATCCTATACTGTTGAATTGCAATTCCATCGTTTTAGAAGGGAATCATATTATTTGCTTTTGAGAGAATTTTTACTAAATATGGTTCAAAACACAGGAACATAATATCTAAAATATTTGTGTTATTATAGTTTAAAAAAAAAGCATATCAAGTCAATCAATATTCAAGATAAAGGTAGAAGTATGTAAGTTAAAAGTACATTCCTATATTGTTGAACTGCAATTCCATCGTTTTAGAAGGGAATCATATTCTTTGCTTTTGAGAGAATATAATGTCCTAAAAAATGTTAAATTTTCTAAAATTTCTTAATGTGTCAGGAATCTTCAATGTCTTAAATAATCTTTATAAGACAAGTTTGAATGCCTCCGCGCCAAACACTCTCTCAATTGAATTTATGATTAAACCAGAATCTACTTATAATTAATATCTTTCTACATGATTATATACAGATTTAATCCAGTGGTTTTGATAGGCTTGAATTCTAATGATATCATTTTTTTTTCGATTATTATATAACCAAAAAGAAGATTATTCATGATGGGGAGGGATATGGGTGGTTTCAAAATATATTGAATCTCGTAAAAAAAAATGTCCATGGCTTAATGCGATCCCATGGGCTTACTGTGAACCCATTTTAAACAACAACAACAGTATACTGTTATCTCGTGCCATGAAAAATGTAATTGGCTTTCTCATATCCAATTAAATATGGCTGAATCGTCATAAATGATTGATTGATGTTTGCGCAGAGGGCCATTGCCTGATAAGTGCCAGTAACGAACTAATGCTATGATCATTATTAGTCCATTACCAAAACAAGAAATGAAACAAAACAAAAGGGGTGAAAGTACTAATATTAATCAACACGAAGGACCAAGTTACATAAAAACTGGAAGAACTAGGAAGCTTTCAGCTTGGTTGATCTAATTTCCAATTGCACTACAATCGACCACATTCTCAGGCATTAATTAATTTAAAAGAATCCGTTGATCAGTCTGCCCATATGTTCACCACTGTAGAAACTGTTGAGACCTGCATCTATTTGGTCCATTTTGGCAGGTCAATAAATTCATTGAACGAAACAAGGAAATAGGCACTTCCCTGTGGTCGCTCGGGAACGAGAGGGCAAATGGGTAAATTAAAGGTGATCAAATATAAATAACTGGAGAGTTTTCTCTTACGCCATCTTTACTTACTTTTGAGGCAATTTGCTGGCGTCCTATCCTTTCTTTTTCCCCTCCGGTAGTTGAACCCGAGGACCCGTGATGGATGACCGTCTATACCCGGTAACAAGAATGTACTCCACCTAATACACCCGGTTAGCAAATTTTAGATTTTAAATCTCGTTATAGAACGGTAGAAGTATATATATATATATTTTTGAAAAAATAATAATTATAGGGGAATGCATAGAGTGCTATAGGCCACATAGCCATAGTGAAGAGAGAGAGAATCTAAGGGTGTGGTGCCAGCTATGAAGTTGAAGGATCAAAGCTTTCTCTGAGGTCAAAGCTGGCATATTTTTTTTATATTTTTCTCTTTTCTTTCACGGCCAGGCAAGGCCTTTTCTCTCTCTTCGTAGCTAGGCTATAAGCCAGCTGAGCTTCTCCCCCTTATTTACAACGCACATAAACAGGATTTTATATCCAAAGATCAACCCTCCCTCTCTCTCTCCACTTTTCTCCCATTTTCCCTCTCTCTATTGCATTCCCTTGCTATATATATATTTCTTCTCTTTTTATTTCTGAACCAAAAAATATATGTGATTTGAGAGAGATAGAGGTGTAGGTAGAGAGAGACAGACTTAGAGAGAAAGAGAGAGAGGGAGGGAGTGGGTAATGGTTGATTCTTCTTCTACAGCAAGAAAAATAACAACCATGACAACTTCTACTTATCCCTGTCTAAGTGGGAATGAGAAGAAGCACTGGTGGCTGAGCAACCGAAAGGTAAAAGTTAATATTCTGCCTCTTGATCAACATGATCTTTGTTTGAATGTAATTGGCTTTTACATTTCTTTTTTTATGATTTATTTGATCTCTTTCTCAAATGGGTTCTTCTCATTTGAGGGTTTTTTTTTTTTACACGTGTATTCTTCTTGTGAAAGTTAATGAGCTAGTGCATGAACTTTGATGTGATAATACAGATTGTGGACAAGTACATTAAGGATGCAAGAAACCTGATTGCAAGCCAAGAACAGAGCGAGATTGCGTCGGCTCTTAACCTTCTAGACGCAGCACTTGCACTTTCTCCCCGCTTTGAAGTGGCTCTAGAACTCAAAGCAAGATCTTTGCTTTATCTTAGGCGATTCAAGGATGTGGCTGATATGCTTCAAGACTACATTCCTAGCCTTAAAATGGCAAACGATGATTCGGGTTCTATTTCTTCTTCTGATAGCTCTTCTCAACAGCTTTCGAGAGAGCGAGTTAAGTTGCTTCCTTCTGATAACTCTGATCCAAGTTTCAAGTGTTTTTCTGTCTCCGACTTGAAGAAGAAAGTGATGGCCGGCCTCTGTAAAAATGGCGATAAAGAAGGGCAATGGAGGTAAATTCCTTGGTTTCTGTTTCTTTTTTATAAGGTTGTGGTGTCCGGTTCAACTTTTCATGACCTTATTTATTGTCTAGGTCAGTGAATATGTTTCTACTGGTTTGAGTAAATGCAAAACCAGCCAAGTTTTTTTCCTTCCTTTTTCTTTTTCCTTTTCTTTTAGGTCACGGAGGTGGTAGTCATAATTGAATTTGTTTAACTTTTAACCTCCCTAACAAAGGTGTTTCTTCAGAACTTGACTGATTCTCTCTAATGAAATTGTTATTGTTTCTCATAAAGGGTAATAATAGCACACGGCTTGTCATGTTTTAACATGATTTGGTCATCTTTTGAGGTCAAAAGTAGAAAAACCCCTGATGGCTTGCTGTGCATTTGCCTAAAACAGTATTTTATTTTATTATTCTGTTTTACTAGGTTCTTATCAAAATGCAATTAATTATTATTTTTCTCCTATAACGAGCTAATTAAAAAAAGCATAGTTGAATTGGAACTTGAGATCTCGATTAGTTTGGCAACCAGGCAAAAGACACCAAACCTACTAGCCAAACATGCTAAAAACTTGAAAGTGAAAAATTCAATTCAACTAACTCGATCATTATCCGATACTGTTACAGGTACTTGGTTTTAGGTCAAGCTTGTTGCCATCTAGGTCTGATGGAGGATGCCATGGTGCTCCTCCAGACCGGAAAACGCCTGACAACTGCTGCATTCCGCCGCGAAAGCATTTCCTGGTCAGAGGACAGCTTCTCTTTCTCGAACTTCCCAATCTCCACTGACATATCCACATCGACAGCCCCACCTACCCCACCGAGAAATTTAACAGAATCTGAAAGCATTACACAACTTCTTGCCCATATTAAACTCCTGCTTCGCCGCCGCACAGCCGCGCTGGCTGCTCTGGACGCTGGCCTCTACCCTGAGGCCATCCGACACTTCACCAAGATCGTGGAAGGCCGACGTGGGGCCCCACAAGGATTCCTTGCTGAATGCTATATGCATAGAGCTTTTGCATATAAAGCTTCAGGAAGAATTGCAGAGTCCATTGCTGATTGCAACAAGACTTTAGCTTTAAACCCCACCTGCATTCAGGCACTTGATACAAGAGCTTCTCTTCTAGAAACAATCCGCTGCTTGCCTGATTGTTTACACGATCTGGAGCACTTGAAACTATTGTATAATTCAATACTGCGGGATAGGAAGCTACCAGGTCCTGCTTGGAAGCGGCATAATGTTAGGTACAGAGAAATACCAGGGAAACTCTGTGCATTGACTACCAAGATTCAAGAATTGAAGCAGAGAGTTGCTTCTCGGGAGATTGGAAATGTCGATTATTATGCTTTGATCGGATTAAGGCGTGGGTGTTCGAGATCCGACTTAGAGAGAGCTCATCTATTATTGACTTTGAGGCACAAACCTGATAAGTCGATAAATTTTGTTGAGAGGTGTGAGTTTGCAGATGATAGGGATCTTGATTCAGTAAAAGACCGAGCAAAAATGTCTGCTTTGTTGCTCTATAGATTGCTCCAAAAGGGTTATTCTAACGTGATGTCTACCATCATGGATGAAGAGGCTGCAGAGAAGCAAAGAAAGAAAGCTGCAGCTGCTTTGCAAGCAGCAGCAATTCAATCCCAACAAACAACTCAAAATGCCAAAATAGAACCAAACTCATCCGCAATGGATGTTTCTGGTTCTAATAGGATCAATTCGAATGAAAAAAAGTGGCATCCGCACCTGCAGGGAGCGCCGCTACATCAGTCTTTCAAGGGGTGTTTTGCCGTGACCTTGCTACAGTTGGGAATTTACTATCGCAATCTGGGTTTAACCGTCCAATTCCAATGAAATTTGAGGCATTGAGCTGCTAAATAATTGGTTACTATAAACAAGTTTCTTGAGATGTTACCGGCAGTGGAAATCTCTGGTTCATTTTGTACAAACACATATAAATTTAGACTGCCGGAAAATTTTGTTACCTTTTTTATTTCTTTCTTAATTTCGCCATCTGCTACTACTTGTACAGAATTTTCAGCACCGAATTTTCTACTTATGGATCTATGCTTTATTGCTTAATTTAAATTTTGGAATTGCATTAGTACTGTATTTTCTCATTCGCTTTTGTATTAACTAATTTAGGTGTTGAAAAAGATACGTACTTGTAAATTGGTACCCACATGTGCAGCCTGGGATGCTGATCGGAAGCTGGCTTTGGCTTCTCTCTGGTGTCTCATCTGTTGCATTTAATTTTTCTCTTGTTACTTTATATAAGAACTGACATATCTGACATTCCACTAGATTTCATTAATTTGCTAATCGCACATAAGGTTTTTCTTTTTCCACTTGGGTTGGAAAAAAAAAGTCTCTGTAACGAAAGAGTGTATGCTATGATCTTATTGGCTTTGGAGCACCCTGTGTGACTGTCGTGGCTTTGAGTGCATCGACATGGCCATCTTCTAATGGTGGAAACTGCAGAAGGGACCATGTCAAGTATCTCTCAGCGGAAAAGAGGTGTTCAGGCTTTTTTCTGGCCTGGCTAATGCAACAAACAAAAGAAGGGGTCTCATCAACGCTCAATACAAGAAAAATAAGTTGGCTTGGAAAGGAGGCGTCAATTCAAGGTAGACTTTGCATGATTCGGGCTTTGGTTTCTATACAACACTGTAGCATTATCTTTGGCACTCCACATTTGTACAAAAAGCGTACAAAATCATGACAGGCTGAGGCAAAATGTGGAGCAATAATGGTGATTCGCATTTTATGTCTGTGAGAGGTTTGGACTTTTAAGATGGTTGTTGGGCATCAATGAGGTTTTCCAACCTCCTCAAACCTAATTGCTGTATTTGTTGATCGTTCAGGGCATGGCTCTCCGATCCAAACAAAAAAAGCCTGTGGTTTCTGTTCCTTGGAAAGGCGGTATCATTATGTTAGGATTCCTATTTCATCGCTCGGCTCCAAAGAAATATAATGGGTGAAAACTTTTCTCGTAACTGTGATGGCCAATAAAGTACTTACCACTGTGCGTTATTCTTAGCTACTTTAAATTTATCAACTAAATTACTATATTCTTAGTATTTTTGTAGAAAATTATCAATACACCTTCCATTATGTCTTACCAATGACTATTATAAACAAATATTAGTAAATGATATATTAGGAATTAATGATAACAGAAAGATTGCTTAGCTGCATAATATTTCATGCAAATGATGATGACCAGGTAAAAAGAGGAAAAAGAAATCAAAACTATATTAGTTAGATGACCAAATTTAATGTCCGCCTTATTAATCATAAGCACAAATGCCAGAAGTGGGTAAATTATCTAGGCGATATTCCCTTCATTTTTCATTTGTTTTTTTTTCGCTTTAGAGCAATTCACAAAAAGAACTCGCAAACCTACCAATGCACTCAAAACAGTCTGATGCCTTTACTTGTTAAAAATGCTCTCTGTCTTTCCTTGCAAGTGATTGGAGAACCTTTTTTATCCTGATAAATTGGCTTTGTCCTTTTGTCCTTCCAAGCTACTCAACAGCTTTAATTGCATTCCCCAGTCCCCACCCTTCCACAAACCCTCATCCAAAATAATCATCATTAAATTCTCAATAGAGAGGAGACTATGATTTGGACAAATGCATGCATGTAATTAAATTGGTCAAACCCGTCCTATACCCGGTACTTATACTGCCTATTTTTCTCTCATTAATCAAAGCCTTAATGAAGTCTCAATCATTCTAAAATTGGATTTTGTTGACATTAATGATGATATAAAGAGATGGTTTTGATATCTTCCGACCTGTACGTCTACGTGCTTTAATATGAATACTCAAGCTTAATTTTCATAAAAGAATTTTATCTTTATGCTTTTAGATTAATCACACTATTGGTCCCTACATTTTTTTTATATTTTTTTTATGTGTTTCTTCCACTCTTATTCTTATTTATCGTATCTATTTTTCTCTATATTTTCTTAATTTTGTTCATCCTATTAGATTCTTTTTTTTTTTTGACAACAAGTGATAGATAACAAGACATGCCAGCTAAGATTAATACGTGGCAATAAAATAAAATAAAATAAAATAAAAGATGAAAAAAAAACAGTAATAAAAATAATTTGAAAAAGGCTAAAGGAGCACTTAATTTGTTTTTCTAGATTTCAAAGCAAAACAAAGCGTTAAATTCATCAAAAATATATCATCTCCTTCACTTCAATCACCACCATCATCAATAACCATGGTATTAATTCATTCAAAACCAAGTCTCGTCTTCACTTAATTTGGTTCATTCTGTTTTTTTTTTTTTCTTTTTTCACATGTTAATTTTTTTTAATGACATTTCATTTTAGTTATTTTAACAACAAGTGACAGATAGCAAGACATGTCAACCAAGATCAATACGTAATATAAATAATTTGAAAAGGCTAAAGGAACAATTAATTTGTTTTTCTAGATTTCATAGCAAAACAAAGCGTTAAATTCATCAAAAATATATCATCCCCTTCCCCTGCAATCACCACCATCATCCATGACCACGGTATTAATTCATTCAAAACCAAGTCTTGTCATCTTTTCACTTAATTTGGTTTATTCTGTTTTTTCCTTCTTTTTTTTTCACATGTTAATTTTTTAATGACGTTTCATTCCATGTATCACCTCTATTTATATATGTTATTTGTTATTGAAAAAATTGATCAGAATCTTATAAAAAAAGTAAAGTTAAAAAAATTATCTAGAATAGAAGTACGTGATAAATAAAAATAAAAATAGAAGGACCATTTTAAAGAATGCAAAGGACACATGGACTAATCATGCAATTAATCCCTATGCTTTTGCACAGCTGCTCATTAATTTCAGTAATTAATGACTTGGGTGAATAGTAATTAATGCAAAATATGCATTCCATGTTGACTTTCTAGGCAACAATGGAATGGAAGTCCCACTGTCATGCACGGTATGGGATGTGTATTGATCTGTTGAATTTTAGAACACTTCATTCATTTAGCTGTGTATTTAGACGTAATAGCAGAAAGGCTGGGTATGATTACTATTACAATAAGTACAGCTCCTTCGCGTGACTCACACATTAACAACTACTCATTAATTATAATTAGAGACAAAGCTATGTAAGCAAATTGTAGCTGGAACTAGTAAGCAAGTTGTAGCTAGGGCACAGAAGGCAGGTACATAGGCATTGGTGGCATTACAGTGGTAAAATCATGGGCTGCACATCTTCCTTGGGTTGGTTTTATCTGTGGTTTTTTAAGGCCTCTGGCATGAAGGAGAGCCAGTCATATCGCATTGTAATTCTCGGATGCTACTCTGACATGATTTCTCCAATATTCATTTTTTGTTTTTATTAGGCTAAGTATAATTTTTTAACTCATTAAAAACATTAGTTATTATCTTATGGCGAAAGAAAGGGGTTCTGCACGAATTCTCAAAAGGGTGCCAATTTGATCATTTCTTTAATATGTTTTAATAAATAAATACTGAAAGTCGTCAGAGATTATGGAGCATCTCTCTCTTCTCTAGTATGAGATATTCTTTTAAAACCTTAATCCCCTGCAAGTTGTACACATTAGTACGAATTAAATTCAGGATATTTCGGATAATGACTACAACAACCCTCAGATGTCGGGTGAAATTGGCGGCAAAGGAGGGGAATGTTCTGAGGGTAAAAAGGGAAGTAGGAAGAGTGAGTGGGTTGAATATGGGATTAGCCTGGAAAAGAGGGGTTTAGTGAAAATAAACACGTGATGTTTGAATGTTGGGAACATCGGAAAGAGGAGAAGTCGTGGCCAGATATGATGATGTCAGGAGCGCCATGTGATGCTATCATGTGCAATGATCTCTCATTTTCTTTCTTTTGTATTTCCTCATCAGAATGGCTAATCATGGCTTGTTGCTAGCTCTTTGTCAAAACCAGATCAAAGGGAAAACTACAAATAGATGTGTTGTTGGTTAATGAGTTGTTAGTACCAAATTTTTGAATGATTTTGTTCACACTTTTGGTATAACTGCATCTTTTAGTCGTAATTTTTCGTTTGATTAAAATATTTGGTAATATATGTCGATAAAACATTAATTTTTATGTTAAGTAAAATTTAAAATCTCAACAACTTTATTTCATATCTTGTGGATTTTGTCTTATCAATTAACTTTATTTTCATTGGTTTTAGAGAAAAAAGTAAGAGTCAAACAACCACGATCACCACCAGGTTTTAAACAAGCACTGTGACAACCACGATATTCGAACCCTCAAGTTCGAGTCAAACAACGATGGGCTTGATAAAAGAAAGAAGCAAATGCAGCCACATTTTATGAATGTTGATTCATGCAATAACCTATTAAATGTATGGGGCAATGGCATCGATTGTTTGACGTAGAAGTATTCTCTGCAGTAATTTTTCTGGCTTCTATGCGAAGTAGATCGGAAAACCATAGTTTTCAGTTTTTTTCTTTTAGTATGCTTTGCGTAATATTAAATCCAACATTTGTAACGAATTGTAGTCTAATCATGATTTGAGGTTGTAATATCAATGACCTACAACATAACACATTTAATGAAGCTAGCATTTGACCTACAAAGCCACCTTTATTATCGACAGAGTGTGCTTGAAGCTAGGCAGAAAGCTTTTTTTGATACTTAGTATTTTATTTTATTACTATTTTAATTTTCTCTCTGAGAAAGGTGTGGGGTTCCAAAAAATTAGCGAAGCTTGAAGTCATGGCAAAGTTTATGGGCTTACGGCTAAATATTATTCTGCTTTTCAAGTGACCATGTCCCCCAACTTTGTGCAGACGAGACCAACTTGAAGACCCAGATCCCGATTCCCTTCGTCAAGGTGAAGCGGCCTTTACTTTTCAGTTTTCCGTTAGCCCTTTTTTTGTTTTGTTTTTTTCATCTTTCTTTTGTTTTTTAAAGAAAAAATTTGCAGGGAATGATTAGATGCAGGGATTTAACTTTAAGCATTACAGCATAATAGGCCCAGCAAAAGTCCCTAAACGGGCCAGATATATGGCTACATTTAAATTACAATAAAAACCAAGCCCAATATGAGTTCCGAGTCTCAATCCACTGAAAACCCAAAACCTTTTTTTCACTCTTCTGGTCAATTTATTGGGGGGCCTATCGGCTATCGGCACTCTAATTAGTTGCAAAATTACCCGTGCATGGCTGCTGCTGTTTTCTAAATAACAAATATTTTAATTTATACATTTAATTAAATAATCTTTTTTTTTTAATTTAGTTAGCATGAATCATTTTATTACGAGATCCTACAAACAATAGTATATATATGCAAACAAAAAAGAAGAAGCTGTTTTATACTGTAATTAAACAACAAAATCAGGGCAATATTATTACAAGAGATTTACCGATAACTCCTCTCTAAAGGGAAAAAGAATAATAATTATAACATGAGAACATGTTGCAAACTAAAATATAGTTTTGTTTTTCATGGAACCATCTAATTATAAGTTAATTAAGTGTACGTTGTCGTTCATTCTCTAAAGTTTTCCTTGAGATTTTAAAGATGACATGCATGCTTCAATTAGATCCTAGTGGAGATTTACCTATAACTCCTTTCTAAACGAAAATAATAATAATAATAATAACAACAATAATTCCATAAGAATATGTTGCAAACCAATATATAATTTTATTTTTTATGGAATCAATATAATTATAAGGTAATTAAAAGTACCTTGTAGTTCCATCTCTAAAGCTTTCCTTCGCATCTTAAACTCATCATTTGATTACATCACCTGATAGATTGTCAGTAATTTTATACCAACAAGTAACAACGGAGCACTTTGATTCAAAAGTACTTTTGCATATAATATACTGATATAATTGAAGTGTATATAATTCTTACTCTTTTTAGGATGGAGTTTAATTAAACTAAATTATGTATTAATTATTAAGTCAATATATGTGTGTGTGTGTAAAAAGGGTGAGAGAAAGGTAAAAAATATATCACATAAGACTTAAAATATCTTTTTACCGAATTAAGTTTTGAACCACGAAGCAATTGTTGAACATAATACCTGGAAAAAAAAATCGTCGAATATTAATAAAATAAAATAAAATAAATTATAGAATGGATTGATATAATAAATTTTGAAATTAAAACCTAGAAAAAAGAAAAAAAGTAGAGAAGGAGGGAAATAATTAAACAACAAATTGCAAATCATGTGCAGTTTCTATAGTCTAATGAATTAAGGTTAGATAGTGCGTGTGTGTATATATTAGGGTCAAATAGCATATTTTTAGTCCCTTGTCAATGGAGAATTGTCGTACCGCAATATTTAAATATATAATTCTATCAACACAAAAATCCTAAATGAAATTGATATCTCCACAGTTAGAAAAACAAAAGAATTCTAAAAATTTCAATAGGATAATAAATATTTGATGATATGTTTGTTTCATGATCAGGAAAAAAATCAACTTATAGAGTTAAAATCGGGATCCGAAACACTAATTAGTTATTCGTTTTGATATTATTTACTAAACAAGAGTCAAAAGTTGTCATTAAAAGCTTTATTTAATAATGATATTTGAAGATAATTACCGGAAAAAACACTAAAAAATATTTTATTTAAAAAATTTACTAATTTATTTTTAAATCTTTCGGATCTAAAATAATATTTTTCTTATTAAAATAACCAATAGTTATTAGTTAATCTTGAAGTCAAAACTATTTAACTAATAAAAATATGTTACTTTAAATTTCGAGAGATTTAAAAATAAATTGATGAATTTTTAGAAATAAAATTTTTTAAAAGTTTTTTTTTTTAATTATCTCTAATTGAAACCATTATCTTTCAATATATATATTATGAATGTTCATATTCTATTTAATTAACGCATCAATATATGTTATACATTCATTGTGTAGTTTAATTTAATTGCTTGATAGAAAGTATTAAGTTTTGATTAATTAAAGACTCGTACTAATGGTGATGTTTTTTCTATTAATATATTGGGATTTAATAAATTACTAACATTCATAATCATACATATTCTTGATTGCTCGGAGAAAAATTTTTTCTTTCTTTCTATTGCAAATAGAAAAAATCGAACTTGATTATGATAAAAAAAAAAAAAAACTCGTATCACACTCATTAAAAAATTATGAAACGAGATTATCATTAGATAATTATAAAAAGAAAACCCTCTAAAAATAACTTCTATCCGAAAAATCTATCAATTTATTTTTAAATTTCTCAAACCCAAATAAAGTTTTCTTTAAAAAAAAAAAACACCCAATAGTTATCTTATATTAAATTAGGGGTTAACTATTGAGGTTTTTAATAAGAAAAATATTATTTTAGATTTGAGAGATTTAAAAATAAATTAGTGAATTTTTAGATAGAATATTTTGAGGGTTTGTGATATATCCCTAATATTTGAGCAATTTATTTATTTTTAGCGAGCATCGAAAAATAAAATAAAAATCTAAAAATTCCATAAAAAAAGAAAGAAAAATAACTACCTAAAACTTATAAAAAAATTGAGATTTAATACACTCATGATAAATCTATCCTTTAAATCTGTAATTGTTAAAAAGAAAAAAAAAGTTCGAGCATAGAAAACCGAGCAACTCTAATCATTTTGCACGCTCTTTTTAGAAACCAAATTTATTTAAGTGTTTTGAGATGAATTGCAAATGCATTCATAAACCGTATAAAGATCAAAATATACCATCGCCGAAGTGGTGTACACCGTAATAGGTGCCCCCATCAAAAGATATAGCTACCGAAGTAGTTTTGATAATGGCTAAATAAATGCGGATTCGTGAGTCGGTAGAAGGGGTTAGCCTTTGCAATATGTGGAAGAATAAAGGGAGAATATTAATAACACATGTATTAGTGTTGACAAATGACATGGTTGGTTATTAGAAATGATGTTAATCTCTCACGACTAGTTTGTTAGAGATGTTGTTAGGCTCTAACGGTTATGGCATTAATTAGAGAGAAGGGAATAGAGAAAAGGTATTCTGGAATTGTTGAACAATCTTTCTCTCTAAAACTTTCTTGTCTTCTCACTAGATTTCTTATGTAATTCTTAGGGTTCTTAATCAAGAATTCTTGCTACTATAATTGATTTTTGTAATTGTTTTCCTCAAATGAATCATACTTCAATTTCTTTCAATTCCTTGTTCCAAGTATTTTCTTCATTTTAACTACATAAATTGTTTTCTACTTTGATCTACCGCATTTCATCTTAAATTCATGCTTGATTAGAATCGATTGCATCAATTGGTAGTAAAGCGAGTGATTTTGATGCCCATGGAGGAATCAAATTAAAATTACACCATGACAAAAGGAAGTGTAGACTTAAAGAAAATGAAGGAAGCCATTGTGCATCTATTAAAGGTAATCACCTATCTCTCTGTTTGATGTAGTACTATGTTCGAAAGGCATGATAATGATACTTGTCGAGTTAAAGGAACTTGTGAAAGGACTTGAGAGTCCGAGTGGTTGAAGAAATGAACAATAACCATAGTAATGGTGTTAGTGACGATGAGATTAGAAATATGGATAGAGAGAGTTTTAGGAGGCTCGAGTATGGATATCCTATGAGAAATGGTTATGGAGGAGGTAACTTTGAGTATCTATATAACACTAGAATATTTAGAGTGGAATTTTTTAAGTTCAATGGGAAGGATTTTGAAGGTTGAGTTTTTAGGTGTGAAAATTTTCTTTATGTGGATAGATCTCTCGATGACTCTAAGGTAAATTTAGCAATTATACACTTAGAAAATGAGGCATTGGAGTGGCATCGAGTGTATGTTAAGATGCATGAGGCTAATGTTACGTTGAGTTGGTTAGAATATATTGACACCATGAGTATATGATTTAGATCTATGTAGTTAGTGATCCCGTGGT